ATGGCATTGAAACGATATACGATAGAATGAATGTAAAACTAATGTTCTCCCATGTAAACTATCACATAATTCATAATAAAATATATATTTTTTAAATTGTAAGATACAAAGAAAAGGTAAATTTTGGTGGCGAGCACTGTGAGATGAAGGGGAGGAATCAGCCAGTCTGAGAGGGAAATCTCCTACATCTGACCCCAAGCTCAAACTGGGGGGCTCCGGATCCAGAGTGGCAGGAGGCAGTCTGGGTCCCTTCCCCGGTGTCCTGGGGACTCAGCTGGGTTTGTGTGTACTTACAGGCACCTCCGAGAAGTGTATTCAGGGTGAGGACGGAAGATGGTTTACCCCCAGGGAATTTGAAATTCAAGGCAACCGCGAGAAATCAAAGAACTGGAAGCTGAGTGTGCGGTGTGGCGGGTGGCCCTTGCTGAACCTGATCAAGGTATCCCGAAATAAGGGGCCTAGGGCGTAGGTCAGGGACACACACAGCATTCTCAGAAACTCTCAGTGCTGCAGGGAAAGACCCCGACTCCTCTTTCTCAGTCATACCTCAACTACCCTTGAGTTTCCACCGTCTCTCAGTGACCCCAAGTGTGGCAGACTAGAACTGTACTCCAAAGGGTTTCAGTGGCTGAGTTTTCAGGAGTAGTCACCAGGCCTTTTTTTGTGAGGCACCTCTGGATGGTATTGAACCTCAGCAGCTGAGGGTGTGAACCATGTGCACCATCCAGGGGCACCCCAGCTCGCAATCCTTGTAGGATTATTAACATTCCAAGGGAAGTGCTAGAAGCGAGGCAGACGGACATGGCCACTCTCCCCCTCACTCTGAAGTCCTTGAAGCATGCTAGGAGGCATCCTGATTTATCACATGCCTGCTTTTCTAACTTCTCTCCCCAGGGACCTGGGCACCTTTGTGGGCCCAAGAACAATGGTGGTGTCTGACAGATAGCTGTCTGTCACCCACAAACTCTAGCTGGACTTGTGGCAGAGAAAGAAGTGATGGGTGTAGAAACGTCTACGAAGGAAACCCCGCCTAGACATTAGAAGGAAAGCAGAAGAGTTCTGAAAGTTGACCATAGAAAGCAGAGTTGGCTTATCACAGATTTGGAGAGGCAGGTTATTGTCTATGAAGACCCTTTAAATTTGGGTTGTCAGTAGGACATCAGGTAGAAATATATGGAAGGCAGTTGGAATTACCAAACTCAATAGAAGTATTCATCTCTTTTCTCTTCCAGAGAGGATTTTTACCAGATGCACCAGTAACAAAGAAACGGGTGATTATCGCATGAACTTTAATCAGTGTCTCATGAGTCATAATGGTGATTTTCCATATCCTCATTATAAATTAAGGAGTCCTGGTGTGGCGCTGTGGGATAAAGTACTGGACCAGAAGGTCGATTTGAACCACAAAGTCGGCGATGCAAACTCACCAGTTGCTCCTTGGAAACCCTATACAGGGTCGCTATGAGTCGGAACCAACTCGATGGCTTTTAACAACAGCAGCATTATAAATTAACTGGTTATGGTCCACCTCCATTTTATAATGGGTGTTTTTACATTTGCTGCCTGGAACATTCTATGGTACACAAGGCCAGGGTTTCCTTGAGCATTAATTAAGACATCCAAGATACAGATGGGAACAAGCCTTAAAAATAATGAAAAAGAACTGGTCTTGGGTGTGTATTTTATAGAAAGAGCTGTGTGTCATCCTTACTCTCTTACCATTAAACCCTGAAAGGCATGCATGATTTTGAAATGTATAATATCTATAAGGGCTGCTGCCATAGCAACTTCAATCTGAACACTGTATTCTAGTTTTTATAGCATATGATCAGAGCAAAAGTTTCCCAAGAAATGTCCCATGGTCACTTGGAATGAATGCATAATTAGCCATGTGCCATCCAATGAAGCAGGGAGTAAACAGCACATTCTCCCCACTGTTTTATCTATTTCTTTCCTTCCCATGACACACACACGTGTACACACACTCTCACACCCTGTCTAGCCATACATCATTCACACTCACTCACACACACACACGTACACACACTCATATATACACACTCACACATCCAGTCAGGCCACACCTTGTTCACACTCACATATGCACACACTCACATGCCCAGTCTGGCCTCACCTCGTTCACACTCACACACACACACACATATTCCTCAAAGGACATTTTGGAGATGACATCTTTGGGAAGGACTGATGTGGCCAGTGTAACCACCTGAGCGGCTGCTAATCTGGAAAAAAACCTTTCATTTGGTGAGAGGCCCTTGGGTCCCACCGAGCTGACACACAATTTAGAACTTTTTATTCTCTGCACAGATGTATAGGCCACACACAGTCCCTGGAATAAAGAAGACTGCTCAAATGTACAGTTAACGTACAAATCAATCACGTTCAGTATTGTCACTTTGTCTTTCTCTTTTCAACAGAAAAGACAGGTGCCTTCCGGCAATGACTTCATTGATCCCTACGTAAGTACTAACTGCAACCTTAGTTCAGAGTAACGCAAGAGTTCCCCTGGATGTATTATCTCTGACATTACTGCTTTTCCCTGATGTATGTTTGTGGTTCGTCAGCTTAGGTGTGCTGAGCAAATAATATCGCCTACCTCCCCTACCTGATATGAATGGTTCTGGGTTGTGTATATCTTCCATTTGTTTCTGTGGGAATCTTCCCATTCCCTCATTTTTCTCAGACTGGGTGTAGGGGTCAGAGCTCTCGACCACTGGAGTCTCTATGGACTCAACGGAGCTGGAAGTAGCAATGGGCAGGGTTTGTCTACTGATTCGGAGTCAGGGGACAATCTGAGAGGAGGGCAACACTCTAGAGAAGGCAGGTTGGGAAACAAAGGCAAGTCCTACACATCCCAGGAGTAGGAGAGGTCAAGACAGCCGTAAGCATCGGCCAGGACAGCTCAATCTGGCAACTTCCAGGTGGGGGTCCTAGAAGGAGACTATGGAAAGGTACATGCAGAGGACATGGGTCCTCTTGTAGCCAGGGGGTGCCGAGCTGGTTAGGACGAGAACCATTAGCACTTAGCAAACCGTGGACAACTTTACTCAAACTTGACAGGTGTCCGATGGTGTACAAACCCTTCTGACCCCCCATGCCCGTCCATTCTGTATTTGTCGTATGCAAAGTCTGCTTTAGGGTCTGCCAAGCTCATGGACACTTCCCCTCTCTAAACAAAATTAAACTTTGTGTCTTTCATTCAATATGGTGGACATCTTCTGCAAAGTCCCTTGGTGTCCATCTCCAGGGTGTACCCCTCATGAGAGAATGATGTGCCGCTACACCAATACAGGACCTCAGCACAGAGAGGGGGTGACCAACATGCCTTTGGGTTTTCTAGCAAATGCTCTTTCCATGCAAGATCTCTCTATCACTCATGAGAGAATTATGTGCCACTACACCGATACAGGACCTCAGCACAGAGAGGAGGTGACCAACATGCCCATGGGTTTTCTAGCAAATGCTCTCTCCATGCAAGATCTCGGTATCATGCAGGTTGGACCTTTTGGTGGTGTAACAGCTCTCATCTCTGGGTTCAGTGAAGCATCTGATGACTTAGGGGAACACAGAGCATCAATTCTCATAGCCGCAGGCAAGACCTGTGTGAAGAAGAAAGGGCCACTGCTCCAGCCAGCCCGTCCTTGCCCTTGCTACAACCTTTATATGGTGGAGCATGTAGGTGGATGGTGACATCTGCTTACAGCTCACCAGCCCTAGCTCAGGAGAAAAACCTCTTCATCTCTGAGGCTTCAGCCTTCGCTGTGCACATGAGCATCACCTGGGGATTCCAGGCCCAGAGATTCTGAGGTTTTCCAGAGCTGCCCTGGTGCTGCAGCTAAATTGTGAGTCACTATACACCAGTGAAGGAGCCCTAGTGGTGCAGTGGTTAAGCACTCAACTGCTAACCAAACGATCAGCAGTTCGAACCCACCAGCCATGCCAGAGGAGAAAGATGTGGCAATCTGCTTCCATAAATATTTACAGCCCAGGACACCCTATGGGCCACTTCTGTAGAGCTGTTATGAATCAAAATCAACTAGGCGGAAGTGGGTTTGGTTTGGGTTTGGGTAAACCAATGTGGTCTATACCACAAATGCATCACAGTCACCTGGAGGACTTGTTGTACTACCAAAGACTGCACCCCAACCCCTGGGCTTCTGACTCAGCAAGTGTAGGGTGAGGTCCAGGAATTTGCATTAACAAGTTTCAGAGAATGCTGATGTTGCTGCTCTAAGACTATTATTTTGAGAACCAATGCCTTAAACCTTAAACCGGAGGCCTCAACTAGTGGGTGCACATTAGAATCACCTGGAACTTTAATGCATGAATGCCTAAGTTCTAGTGTGGCACTGTAGGATAATGCACTGGACAACAAGGTCAGTCTGAACTGCAAGGTCAGTGGTTCAAGCTCACCAGCCTCTCCTCAGAAACCCTATACAGGGTTGCTATGAGTCGGAACTGACTCAATGGCACTTAATAACAACAATACATCCTAATCTGGGGCACCTGGATAGTTCAAATGGTTTACACTCAACTTCTAAGCTAAAGGGGAGTCTGGTGGGTCCAAAGGATAAGCACGGGACTGCAGACCACAAGGTTGGAAGTTCAAGCCCACTAGAGACGCCACAGGAAAAAGACGACGTTTCTGTTCCCACAAAGATGTATAGCATCAGAAACGTCATACAGGGTCGCTATGAGTCAGAACAACAGATGGCAGTATCTAATCTAAAGGTCAACTTTTTTAACCCACCTAACCATGCTGCAGAAGAAAGGTCTGGTGATCTTCTTTCACAAAGATTACAAACAAGGAAACCTATGGAGTAGTTCTACTCTGAATTATACACCATCATGTTGAATCACAATCAACTCAACAGCAATGATTTGGTCTGGTTTATGCCTCAACCTAGGCTAATTACAAGTCCTGGTGTGGTCCTGTTTGATAAGTACCGAACTGCTAACCATAAGGTTGGAAGTTCAAACCCACCAATCACTCCTTGAAAATTTTATACAAGGTCTCTATGAATTGGAACTGACTCGATGGCACTTAACAGCAACAACAGATTAATTGAATCAAAATCTTGTCCCTAGGGTCCCAAGCATCAGAATATTTTTTTTAACTCCACCAGATGATTCCCCTTTGCATAAGATTGAGAATCTCTGTTAAACCAAAGGACAGATTTCTTGCTGAAAAGATTAGGGAGAATTACAGAATTCTTCAACAGTGGAACTTCGAGAGTGGGATTACATGTGTCATTCATTCTTTCTCAAGTCCCATTTGCAGCCGTCTGTTTTATAGGATGGAAGTTCAGAAACCTTGATCCAGCAGCCTCAGAAGAGTGGTCAGCATCTCTGAGTCTTATCTGCTATGATGAAGAGGAAAAATGGTTGCACGACCCTATCCCAAGACGACCTTAGAGCCTATTTGGGGACGTGTCCAAGGACCTCCATAACAGATCATGCTAAAGCTTTCATATTGAAAGAGAGCACAGGGCCAAGCTACACCTTGCAACCTAGAATTTTTTCCTATTTGTGACTTTTGTGTCTTTTCTTCTTGTATTCAATTTACAGCTGAGAATTTACAAATTGAAATGTGTTCCAGTTCGTCTCAGCTCATTGGACCCATGGACAACATAGACTTTGAACCCAAATGGCAGGCAAATATTTTGTGGCTAGCCCTGATAGTGTAGTGGATTACAAGCTGGGCTGCTAACCATAAGGTCAGAGGTTCAAATCTACCAGTCACTCCGCAGAGAAAGATGAGGCTTTCTGCTCCTGTAAAGATTTACAGCCTTGAAAATCCTATACAGGGTCACTATGAGTCAGAACCAACTTGGTGGCACACAATAACCAACCAGTAAGATAGTACTCTTAATTAGGGTCTCTGCTTCCCTGGAACAGCAGGCCTCTTCATCTTCCTTTTTATTGAACAAGAATGCCACCAAGTCTTCTTCATGAAAGTAGGAACCAGTTCATGAAAACAAAGGTAGGGACAAGGTCTTCAGCTTTGATGACTGCTGTTACTATCCTTCTTAGCCATTCAGAGAGGAGCTATAGCCACCTCCACATCTTAATGCCATGCTGATGTGAGAGACCTTCTCCAGCCTCCCAGAGCCAAAGAACTCCCACTTGGCACCCACCTGGTCATCCACCATTGCTACAGTTCCAAAGGACCCCCTGCCCAGGTCCTTTCTTTAATTTCTCGGGAGACTTTGGTGAAGAAAGGAGAATGCAATGATTTCTCGGACGTTTGTTCCACCACATACAATTCTCAGTAAATCACCTGTCCACAAATCAGTTTAGGCAATACAATGTAGACAACTAGGTAAGACACTGTTCTTGAGGGCAAGGTGTGTGCCAGATGAATTGTAAGTGTCTTACACTATCCATAAATCGTCACTGAGTTACCATCTGTTTACATAAAGAAAACTTTGGTTGGACACATAGCCCTCTTCCTGACCTTTACTATAGGCCAGAATGTCTTCTGAAATCTCCAGTTGGTGTTTCTACTTAACCTCTCAGGGAGATAGACTTTAAGTTCCTGCCTTGGTATAAAACGTGTAGTGGAGTTCTACCATATAGATTCTCCGGGGTCTCACTGATCTAAGTGATGTCTCCATGGTCTCATTTTCTAGCCAGAAAATTCAAATCTGTGTGCGGTATGCCAGGATGGAGGCAGGCTGGTCTGCTGTGACACATGTACAAGATCCTTTCATGAAGACTGTCACATCCATCCTGTGGAAACTGAGAGGTTAGTGAGACGCAGCCTGCTGTCTCTCCTTCCACCACGCACACTCAAGCCTGCAGAGTTGCCATCTCTGGTTGTCCATGTCTTGATGCTCAGGGAGTACGGTTGGGCATTGGGATCCAGATACTTCGGCAAAACTTTTCCAGGGGTTAGTGGGTGGAATAGTAAGAGATACGTCTGACTCAGACCTGTGCATTTTGTGGGAGCAATGACCTCATTCACGGAATGACAGTTTAAAGCAGACACCATCTCGAAGCTGACAAAGCCTCTGCAGTGAGCCTTCAGAAGTCATATCTGGTCAGCTGATTCTAGATCAGGGATCTATAGTAAGACTTGTGAATTCTGTGGGGGTGAGCCCACTGTTTCACTTTCTTTGGGGCACATTGCATCATTGGTCAGAGGTGATGGTGTGTGAGAAACCATAGCAATTGAGAAAGCATTCTGTCGGTGAGTGTGCTGCAGTGTCCTGTGGACAGGGAGGGCAGTGTCTACCAAGAGTCAAATGTAGTCCACTTGCTACCTGGTAACTCTCAGAGAATGGTGCTGTATCAGGGGTTTCCCATAAACCTCTGCTTTTGGCCACTTGAACCATCTGCAAGGTCAGAAAATTGATTGACATTCTAGTTGCAATGGGCTGCCGAAAGAACAAATAAATCTGTTAGAAGAAGTGCAGCCAGAGTGCTCCTTGGAGGCCAGGATGGCCAGACTTCGTCTCTCATACTTCAGACATATTGTCAGGAGAGACCAGTCACTGGAGAGGGATATCAAGTTTGGTAAAGTGGAGGGTTGGAAAAAAACAGGAAGACCCCCAATGAGATTAATTGGCACAGTGGCAGCCATCAATGGGCTTAAGGATAGCAATGATTGTGAGGTTGGCCCAGGACCAGGCAGTGTTTCGTTCTGTTGTGCATAAGGTCATTATGAATCGGTACCGACTCAATGGCACCTAACAACAGCAACAACCATCTCTGTTCCATGGACACATTGAGTACACACTAGGGTGGTCAATGAGAGAGGCTAACTGACATCTATAGGAAGGGTCAACTTGTCCATCTGACTATTGAGAGCCTCCTGGGCCAGAGAGGATGGCAGGGAAGAGTAGAGAATGAAACATAGATAATGGAAGATCAGTGTCCTTTCCAAGAAGTTTCTGCAGTATAAATTCTAACAATAGATGTGGCAAAGCTAGAGGGGAGGGTGCTTTTAGCATGTACTCTGTGTTTGTTCAGAAAAGTTGAGAAACAAGAGCTGGTTTCCTGATTCCTACCATAGTTTGACTGGAATCATTGAAGCCCAAAACACCAGTGGTTAAGGTCCAATTTCCAATTCTCAATTCTAGTAAGTAAGGCTCATCCGGCTTCCCATGCTTTCGGGTCAATGAAAGTTCATCATGGTAACTCATTCAGTAGACACATCTTTGATGGGAAAGGGTGTCTTTAGTTACTGAACCCACATGGGGCTCTTGTGCAGAGGGATCTCCAGGATAGAAGTTGGCAAAGGTACCAGGAAGAGCTCCTGACAGCATGCATGGGGAATAAGGAGAGAGAGAGAGAGAGAGAAGTTGGCTCCAAGGTGAAGCCCACCAGCCACTTGTGACTAAAGGACTAAAGCTCAGGAACAGTGGCTATTTCACAAATAGAGGTCAGGCAGAATTGCTCATGTTATGCCTGATCTCTCAGGAATCCTTGGAGTTGCATCTTCTGCAGCATAAAGATTATTCAGGAGAAATGTCCAGAAGACCAGCCAGGTCATCAGGAATATGAGATCCTGAAGAGGCAGATGCTGCCTGAGGAGCAGCTGGTAAGTCAGAAGGCCAACCTGAAACCTTCTCCTTTCTCTTTATAAGAGAGAAACAATCGGCAGAACCTTGCCGAGGGCTAGAGGAGTGGGGCTCAAGGCAACCTGTTCTAGCCGGAGCTGCGTTTTGATCACAATGACCTAACCCCCAAAGCTGCATTCCAAAGAACACACCCGTGTACATGTGTGTTTAAAACTTCCGGATGACTGGCTTGAGTTATGGGTTCAGTTTGGGCATGGATAGGGGCTCATTATCTCCAAGCTGCTTTTCACAAAAGACCTCCTTCATCTTTTGCAGAAATGTGAGTTCCTCCTCTTAAACTTCTATGGCTGTTCTAAAAGCTCCTTTTTCGTAAGTAACAACCAGAAACCCTGAAACTAGCATTTGTGAAATTTGTCCTCTGAATTCTAAACATATAAGCTGTTGTTGTCTTTGCCATGTTGGTGGAAATCTATTGAACTGACTGAGTTGATATTTTTGTCAACAGAGTAGAGAGGGTTCTCAGGACCCGAGGGAGTCCATGTGTTTGGACAAAATCAAGATGAAGTTGAAGGAGAAGCATTATCACCAAGTTGAGGATTTTGTACGAGACATGCGCCTCTTCTTTCAAATGAACAAGGTATATTGCAGAGTAAGTGCTTTTCCCTGCTTCCATATCCTTCTCTTTTATTTATGCCATTTTACATTTCATCTTCTCATATTGGGGAAGTTACACAATCTTCCTCATCACAGGCAAACATACAAGTAAAGCTTCTAGACATCTTCCACGAGTCTTCCAATCCATGAAGAGAAAATGGTAATAAGCCAGCAGGTGTCGTGAACATTGCCTAGGAGCTCCGAGAGTTTATTCACTTCTCAAGCTCCCAAAAACAAGCCCATTGCCATCCACTCAATTCTGACTAATAGTGACACTATCTAGGGTCTCTGAGACTGTATGGGAGCACACAGCTTCATCTTTCTTCCAAGATGGGGTTTGTGGGTTCAAACTGCTGACCTTCTAGATCTCCTCCTACAGAGAAAAAACGAAAACAAAAACACACTTACATTGAGTTAATTCCAACTCTTAGTAACCTTGTGTGATATGGTTGAACTGCCGCATAGGGTTTCCAAAGCAGTAAATCTTTATGGGAGCAGCCAGCCCCGTCTTTTTACCAAGGATTAGCAAGTGGGTTCCAAATGCTGACCTTGCAGTTAGCAGCCCAGGGCTTAACCCACTACACCACCAGTGCTCCTTCCACAGAGAATAGGTGGCAAGCCCATCCCCTCCCATAGGAAGGAGACTAACCCGTTAAAGGACTTCTCCAATGGAAGACACCAAATTCAATGTTTCAAGTTTCACAAGTGTGAATTTCTTTATCTCTGACTTTCCGAGTGGTGTGTCAAAACGTTAACAAGTATTAACTAAAGGGATGAGAGTGAATGAAAAAGCAGAGACCAATAACTTGCTTTAGACACTTCTGTACTAACATATTATTAAAAGTCATGTATGCCAGATTTGAAAATCGAATAACTAGAATATTTAAAAATTAAATCAAGAGAGAAATGTGTGATCAGGAATTAATTGCAGTATAATGCTTCTCTGGCTTCCAAATAAAAACCATAAGCTACTCTCGATTGGATTAATTCTCATTTGACATTTATTGTTGTTGTTAAGTGCTGTCAAGTCAGTTCCAACTCATAGCGACCCTATATAGGGTTTCCAAGGAGAGGCTGGTGAGCTTGAACCACCAACCTTGCAGTTCAAACCAACCTTGCAATCCAGCACGTTATCCCACAGTGCCACACCAGGACTCCATTTAACATTTAGGCTGTCTAAAATGAGGCTCGTGGTGTGGCGCTGCAGGATAAACCCTGGTGTGGGATTGTAGGATAAGCACTTAACCACAAGGTCGGTTTGAACCTTAAAATTGTTGTTGTTGTTGTTGTTAAGCACCATGGAGTCAGTTCTGACTCATAGTGACACTGCACAGGATTTCCGAGGCTGCAGATCTTTACAGGAGCAGAAAGATTCATCTTTCTCCTCCGGAGCAGCTGGTAGTTTCAAACTGCTGACCTTGAGGTTAGCAGCCCGATTTGTAACCACCAGGGTACCAGAGCTCCTTGAACCAAGGTAGGTGGTTCAGTTTTACCAGTCGCTCTTTGGAAACCTTATACAGGGTCACTATAGTTCAGAACCAAGTCGACGGCACTTATCAACAGCAACAACAGCAAAAGAAGGTTCCAGATGATCTGGAACAGGGGAGTCCAAGCTCATTGACAATGACCATTATTGGTTTTGTGTTTGCTTTTTTTTTAGGGCAATGACTTAGTCGGACTGGGACTTCAACTAGAGACCAAATTTGAAGAGACTTTCCAAAATATTTTTGCCATTCAGGGAACAACAATGGAGAGCAGTTTTCAGTGTGGGCGCATTTCTCCGTTATAGTCACAAATTTCTACTACCTCCCTGAGATCCTCCCTCAGCTACTAGATAACTTGCCTGTGGGTCCATGATCACTCTGCCTGTTCAAGTGCAAACTCCACCATGTTAGTGGTGCCATCGAGTCGGCTTCAACTCACAACAGAAAGAAAACGTTACTCCATCCTCCTCCAGCATCAAAATAGTAGATAGCCTGGGTCAGATGTTGCCGCTACTCAAACCCACCTCATTGGAGGTCATTCTCTTTTGTGCTGACCCTCCATTTTATCAAGCAGGACATCTTTCTGCAGCAATTGGTTCCTCTTGACAACATATCTGAAGTTAGCAGGACAAATTCTTGACGTCCTCGCTTTTAAGGAGCATTCTGGCTGTATTTTCTCTAAAACAGACCTATTCATTCTGAGAGTACCATCATGTTGTTGTTGTTAGGCACCATCCAGTAGGTTCTGACTCAGTAGCGACTCTATGCACAACAAAATGAAACCCAGGCTGATCCTGCGCTATTCTCACAATCGTTACGCTTGAATTCATTGTGATTGCCACCGTGTCAGTCCATCTTGTTGGAAGTCTCCCCAGCACGATCTTTTTCAAACATTTTTTGGTGCTACTCCTTTTCATTTATTTTTGGAAATAAAATCTAGAACCAAATGGCCAACCGTTACTCAAAAGCATGGATGAGAACTCGGTAGTGAGGCTAGGTAGATAGAAATGAACCAACTAGGGGGGAAATAAGGAGGAGGTTTCCCAAGATGAAGACTGAAGCTAATGTTACTAAGCATTATGTATAAGAATGGCTAAATGGGAGGCTGTTTTGCTATGTATGCTTTTACCAAATATACAATACTTTTTTTTTAAAGAATTATCTTGTCAAGTTTTTTTTCTTATGATTAATTTGCCATTGAAAATATTGAATCTTCCCATAAAGGATCATATTTTGTCTTTCATTTATTCAAATCTTTTATCAGTAGAACGTTCTTTTCTGATCTCCCCACACAGCAGGACTTACTCGGTTTTTTTCCCCCTTTTTGGCTTCCAGGTATTTTGTATTTTTTGTTGCTACTGTGAAAGTTATATTTTTTCCAATTGTATTTCATTAACTGCTTACTGCCTAATATAGAAAGATGCTATTATTTGTATATTAATCATCACTCATTTTACTCTTTTTCTTTTCTTTAACATTTTGCCCAATGGCATCAGGAAGCTCAGAGGGGCCACATAGCAATCCCACCTTCCAGTTCACGGAACCATAGTAGGCTCTGTTGGTGGAAACATTCAAACCTCTGACACTTCTTGGTTGTGTTGGGGCCATCTCAGCTGTAACTCCCTGGTGACCTTGCATGTCTCTACAGAGGCAAGGCTTAGCTGCAGCTGATCTGATCTAAGTCTTGGCACAATGCCCTGTGACCCTTTTGGAACATTAGTGTGTGGAAGGAATATGTGGAGCTGCTTCCTGGTCATTCCACATTGTCTTAGTTCTCCATTGCTACCGTAACAGAATTACCACAAGAGGACAGCTTTCTCAAGAGCTTGTTCTCTCACATTTAACAGGCTACGATTCCAAATTCCGAGTGCAGACTCTAGAGGAAGGCTTTGGGGAAAGATCCTTGTCTTCTTTCAGCATCTGTAGGCCAAATCGTCCTTGGAGATCTCCACACATCCTAACTTCAATCTTCCTCTAGATCTAGGACCTTCACAATGCAAAGGACACACTCCACTCCTGGCTCTTGTTTCTTAGTGCCAGTCAATTCTTCTGAGCTCACTTCTCTTTCTTCTTAGATCTCAAAAGAGATTGACTCAAGATCTCACTTAATCCTGAAGATTGCATCTGGCCTCGTAAGCATCATTGTTGTTGTTAGATGCTGTCTAGTCGGTTCTGACTCATCGACTCTATGGACAACAGAATGAAACACTGCCCAGTGCTGAGTCAACCTCACAGTTGTTACACTTGAGCCCACTGCTGCTGTGCCAATCCATCTGGCTGGGGGGGGCTCTTTCTCTTTTTTACTGACCCTCCACTTTTATAAGCATGAAGTCCTTCTCAAGGGAGAGGTCCCTCCTTGATAACATGTCCAAAGTATAGAGACTAAGTCTCACCATGCTGGCTTCTAAGGAGTACTCCAGCTGTACTTCTTCCAGCACAGACTTGTTTGTTCTTCTGGCAGTCCATGTTGTTGTTAGGCTCCATCAAGTTGGTACAGACTCATAGCAGCAACCTTATGAACAACAGAATGAAACACTGCCCGGTCCTGTGCCAGTTTCACAATCATTGCTATGCTTGAGCCCATTGCTACTGCCTCTGTACTAATCCATCTTTTGGGGGATCGTCCTCTTTTTTACTGACTAAGCATGATGTCCTTCTCCAGGGAATGGTCGCTCCTGATAATACGTCCAAAGTATGAGAGATGAAATCTAGCCATCCTGGTTTCTAAGGAGCACTCTGGCTTCACTTTATCCAACACAAATTTGTTTTTCTGGCAGCCCATGGTACCTTTAATATTCTTCTACAGTCATTGCCATTTGCTGTCCAGCTTTCACATGCATAAGAGGTGATTGAAAATACCATGTTTTGGGTCAGGCACACCTTAGTCCTCAAGCTGACATCTTTGCTCTTCAACACTTTAAGGAGATCTTGTGCAGCAGATTTGCCTAATGCAATACGTCATTTGGTTTCTTGACTGCTGCTTCCGTGAGTGGTGATGACTGATCTAAGTAAAATGAAGTCTTTAACAACTGCAAACTTTTCTCCATTTATCTTGATGTTATTTATTGGTCCAGTGGTGAGGATTTTTTTATATTCTTTACATTCAGGTGCAACCCATACCAAAGACTGTGGTCTTTGATCTTCATTGGTAAATATTTAAGTCCTTTTCCATTTCAACAAGCTAACTTGTATCATCTGCATATCACAGGTTGTTAATGAGTCTTCCTCCAA